ACATTTCTAACACTTTAGTATTTTTTTTTCTTGGTTTTCATTCAATCATTTAGATACATTTTGTCTTATAACATCCAGTACAACTGTTTAGGTACAATGCCACTATTTAGGGCGTCTTATCAAAGCCCTGATATACCCCCTTCCTTCCCTTCTCCCTCCCCTTGCATTTTCTTATCTCTGTTCCCTCCTCTCCTGAGCTCAATCTTCCACAATTGTTTCTGTGTACAAACCTTTTCTTTGTCTATCCCTCCCGCTTCTCTCCTGCAATTTGATAAATTCTGTTGCAGATTGTTAATTGCAATACACTTTTTCTGATCTTCCATTCACTTCGGATGACCTTCTCTTCTCATTGACTTTTATTAAGGCCTTACTATTTATGTGACAACAATATTTGGGGGCTGGAATTACATCAGGGAATAAAACATTCCTTTTGGAATATAAATGACTATAAACAACATAGTATAAAAGTCTGTAAATGTTAAACATAGATATGAGTCACAAGAAAAAAAATAATTAGCACAGGGTAGGATGTGGAGCTAGGTTTTTTTTTAAATAAAGTAACTGAGAAAGTGATATTAAAGCAGGGAGAGGACAGGGAGAGTGCAAATTGTTTTGAAAGATGGCAAGAGGAGTCCAGGTAGAGGGAACCTGGCCTTGGGAAAGGGCAGGAGCAGCCTGGAGAGTTGCAGGAAGGACATGGAGGCCCAGAAGGCCTAGCAGAGAGTCATTCTTCTCATTGTTCACCACAGCATTTACTGCAGACCTTAAAAAGGCCTGGCCCCTACCCTCAAGGAGCCTCTGTTTGCAAAGCTAGAAGGTGGAGTATACAGAGAACAAATAGAGCTCTGACTTACGGCCCCCATGGGGTCTCACGCAATAGTGGAGTGATTCAGGATCGATGAAGTGAGCTCAGCAGAGCCTCAGAGATACACTCAGCTACATTAGGCGCTTCTGAACGCCAAGAATGCTGAGGTGCTGACCTTTCTGACTCTTTCACCTTCGCCTTTCAAAGATCGGATTTGTAACCAAAAAAATTTAAGTTCCAGATGTACACCAACTGTTTGCAATGTCCTAGAAGGCCTCAGATCTCTTTTTGAAAAGCAGATGCCAAGGGAGCTCTGGTGGCCCAGTGGGTAAAGAGTTGAAAAGCAGATGCCAGATGGAAAGGTCTGGAGAAGGCCATCACGAGGCAATCTAATGTGGCAATGGGTTAAGACATTCACATCTCCACGGCTCTGGCTGCACTAAATAGACTAGAGCAGCATCAGCTGTACTTCTGGAGAGAAAGACCCTCAGTGAAATGGACTGACACACAACAGGCTTGAGTATGAGGGAGATCAGGAGGAAGGCACAGGGTAAAACAGGGTTTTTTAATCTGCTACTCTCAGGGTCTATGAGGAGAATTGTGGCATCAGGATTGGTGGAAGATCTATTAACAATCTGCGTTATGCAGATGACACAACCCTGCTTGCTGAAACTG